CCCAAAAAATAATAAACAACAGATACATCTCCTTCCTTCTAGGGAGATAGGGAAGGGTGTGTGTTTGTGTGTGTGTGTGTGTGTGTGTGCGCGCACATTCATCTTAATGCTATGCAAATGAAAGTGAACTGCATTTATCATTCATTGTCAAAAAAGTAAAACAATTTTTTTATAACATAAAGTGGATTTTGTTCTCCAATATCCTCTCTGTACATTTTATAAGCAATAGTGCATGTTAAAAAGCACCATTTCAACATCATTCATTTATTCTCTCATCAAAAACAAAGTAATGATTCCCTACAGGAATCACCATATTTTCTCAATTAGGCAAAAACATCAAAGAGTATATAGAAGGTTATTTCAATTCAAGAACAATCAACGTTATCTTGAACCCCAGGGAGACTGGCACAAGGATAATAATGGCTGTGTGTTAAGAGTCATTGCTACAGGATTCCTCCCTCTGTTCCCCTCTGCCAGAGTACTAGTTCAAATCCTGATGATATTCAAAATATGAATTTGCACTCTCCTGGATCTCCAACTATCCAATGGTGGATTTTCTCATTCGGTGCACTCTCAGATATAAACCTTGAATTAAGCTCTTGGAATAATACAATATTTCCTGTAGGACAGGATGAAAGTCAGAGATATTTTCAAGAGTGAAGATGTTGCTTTTCCTGGTGTTTCTGGTGAAGCAAATAGTGACTCTGAGCTGTCCTACGAGTGAAGCTTTCCTTGTTCCACATGAGTGGTACCAACCTGGTGACCTCGTCATTGGTGGGATAGTGTCCAATATATTTTACAACCTTTATGAAATTAATTTTAAGGATCATCCTTTTATAACATCTTATGACATACCAAAGTAAGTTTTTTCCCCTTTAATCTTAATCAGTTTCCCCAAAATTGCTTATGAGAGTAAAAGGTTTTCAGTATAAAGATAGGCTTTATATCTAATCTAAGTGTCTCAGTCTTTCAGTTGTTTCTAGCTGTGGTAGAATCAACAATTTTCTTTACCTTATGGTAAAGTGTTTGTCATATAATGTATAAAACTACAGTGCAAAACATCTTTTAAAGAACAATTAGTAAACCTAAGGGAACTTTTTTTCAAAAAAATCTGTATTGTCAACCTTAACAAAACATACATACAGTAAATAAATAAAACAGTTTTGTTTGCCATGATGTAAAAAAGATGTGGAGACTCTAGAAAGAGTCCAGAGAAGAGCAACAAAGATGATTTAGGGACCTGAAGGCCAAAACCTATGAAGAACGGTTGCAGGAACTGGGTATGTCTAGTTTAATGAAAAGAAGGACTAGGGGTGCCATGATAGCAGTGTTCCAATATCTCAGGGGCTGAAGCAAAGAAGAGGGAGTCAAACTTTTCTCCAAGGCACCTGAGTGTAGAATAAGAAGTGATGGGTGGAAACTAATCAAGGAGAGAAGCAACTTAGAACTAAGGAGAAATTGCCTGACAGTGAGAACAATTAATCAATGGAACAACTTGCCTTCAGAAGTTGTGAATGCCCCAACACCGGTAGTCTTTAAGAAGATGTTGGATAGCCATTTGTCTGAAACGGTATAGGATTTCCTGCCTAAGCAGGCAGTTGGACCTCCAAGGTCCCTTCCAACTCTGTTATTCTATTCCGTTCTATTCTATTCTATTCTATTCTATTCTATTCTATTCTATTTGTCTAATACATTCTGGAATTGTTCATATTCCATTTTGCATGTGGGGGAGAAGTTAACAAATAAATAGGGTTCCCTGAAAACAAAAAGTAGTATTTTTATTTCTTATAGCAGATAAACATTGCAAATTATGCAACTATGGTAGAACAAGGATATTTGAACTTTGTTCAAATTACTCATTTGAACATTTTANTCTATAATTAGGTCCTGGATGAGGGGAGCCTTGTTAACCACAGACCTGGCACTTAGCAACAGCAACCTGAGACCAGAGAGAGGGTAAGGGGGGAAGATGAAGAGGATAAGGAGGAGTGGATTGTAGAGAGAGGAGTAGTAGAAAGGGAGGGGAAGTAGAGTAGGAAAGGATGATGGAGGGAAGATTAAATACATTAAAAAATAAAAATAAAAAAAATAAAAAATAAAGAGAAATAGATAAAGATAGTGAATAAATAATAGAAAAGAAAAGAAAAGAAAAAATGATCATGTGGCAAAAATAAAAGAATTGCTGCAAGTATATAGCTGAAAAAGTAGTTGAAATGAGCAGGTTAAAATATTGTGGGATTTCTGAATATAGATTGTTATAATCTTAGTCCATAATGCACCAGATATAGTTCTGATTGAAAAGGAGAACGTTTACAGATTTCAGATTAACAGAGTTGGAAGGGACCTTGTTAGGTCATCTAGTCCAACCTGCTGCCCAAGCAGGAGACCCTACACCATTATGAAAAAATGGCAGTCCAGTCTCTTCTTGAAAGCCTCCAGTAATGAAGCTCCCACAACTGCTGAAGACAAGCTGTTCCATTGGTTGATTGCTCCCACTGTCAGAAAATTTATCCTTGTTTCTACGTTGAATCTCTCCATGTTCATTTTCCATCCATTATTCCTTGTCTGCTTTGGAAAATAGCTTGACCCCTTCCTCTCTGCCCTCCCTCATAATTGGGACATGAATTACATGGGGTCAGAGTTCGCTTCACTTGGGTTGGTGCAGACACGTTGCTCCTAATAAATGACTGGATTTCTTTTGAAGCTTGGCTTGAGGCTCATGGTTTAGTTAGGGCATCCGTTAGAACCCTGACACATGGTTTTCTCCACAACGCCTTATATTGTGCTCCATCCCAGACCATGGTTCCACCCTCTCCCCTTCCCTCCTATTGTTTGCTGCCAATACGGCCACCGTATTCCTGCAACTCCCCAGCCACCCACCCTGGGCCAGCACACCTAGCTCCCTGCACCTGCTTGTGATCCGATGGTCAGTTGTTCTGCCACAAATCAGCTGTATTCAAAGTTTGGGTCTCAACTGGCCATCCGATGGCTCCATGGAAGGAGCAGAATCCTTGCCCAGTAGGTAGGCATGCGCCTCGGATGGCGGTTGGTGGTGATGGATGTGAGTCCCAGCTGGCCAATCCTCCACCACCTGAATGGTAGCTCCAGGCCATTTGGTGGACGGGGGTTGACATTCGGCCCACTACCAGGGGGACAACATCTGGAAGATGAGAGACACAATTAGATACTTCCTTTGATTAGAAACCCACTCTCTGCCTGGTTTGCCTGGGTTTTGTCAATGAAACTGTTTCAACAACCAAGAATTTTCCCCCAAAAAATAATAAACAACAGATACATCTCCTTCCTTCTAGGGAGATAGGGAAGGGTGTGTGTTTGTGTGTGTGTGTGTGTGTGTGTGTGTGTGTGTGTGT